ATATATATATATGTTTTTTTTTTTTACTAGCATCACCATTATCATCATCTTGAATCTCAAATTGAGTGCTTTGTTTCACAACTCAAATTTGGCATCCAATGAACCCAACAGCACAGCTCTTTGTCTCTTAGATGTTAGTAGCGCTTGTGCAGTACCCCGAAAGAAACAAAGTTTAAAACTTGCGGAGGTTTGTGGGGAGCGGTGAGGAGTGGGTAGGTTTGTGTTGGAAAGAGGCCGGCGTGCAAGTATAGTGGAGACATTTTCAGACTGAACAAAAAAAAAATTTACCTTTGCAATATTTGAAAGCAAAAATTGCTCACACATATACGTACTGAAAAACGTCCAATAGAGAGGAAAGAGACCTTTCTCATCTCATGAAAGATTGGTGCCAAGGCGTTTCACAAGACGTTTATGAACTCTTTAAGACGAAACTTTAAAGATAGATTATCAAATTATTTGAAGACATCATAACAGCTCAATGGGGTGGAGAGAATATTACCAAATAGGAGCATAAATATGCCATTCAAAGAATGCGATTTAACTTTTCTTTTTTAATCTAGCAGCCTATCTCCCTCAAAAAATGAAAGTGGGGGGAGACATTCCTGGAAACAACAGAAGTTTCTTCAAAGCTGTAACTTAAGTATGTTATCTAATGTAAAGTTAATGCAGATAAACTCTTTATTAATATAAACTCTCAAAAGTATGCATTTTGGAAATGGGCTAGTAGCTTAAATGGCTTAAAATGTTTTCTCATAAATTGATTATTTTTTTCTTATTTCAAGCAGTAGAAATGTAACATCTTCAAAGTTTTAGCACATTTTTCTAATTAATTACGCATTACTGTTTCATCTGGTTCTTATAATTAGTTAATAATTGCTAATAATTTTTGATCTGGCATTATTTTCTTTTTCCTACATAATCCTACCTACAGCCCTAAATTGCAAGACATTTACAGAAAGATAGTTGTAAATATACTGTAGACACAATCACATTACAAGTCGTTTTGAGTCTTCTCATTGGGGAAGAACAAGGACCAAATCACGTGTACTCGGGATACTCAAAACTTATTACCTGAGCTGGATTTTTAATGCAACATATGAGATCAAAGGGAGGTCCTCTCACCATGCCTCCCACTTAACTCATTGAATATTCACTGTAGTAGCTAAACTAAAATTTTGTATATTTTTCTTCTGTTAAGTTTCAAACTGGACAGAAGTGGATATTTTCATGGCCTTTGCTGCAGTTCTAAGATCTGTGAATCTGGTAGCTTTTTACTTTTCTAGTCTCATTTAATGCATTTTATTTAACCCGCTGTATCTAAAATACATAATCAATATTCAAAAATTATTGACATATTTTACTTTTCTGTACTAAATTTTAAAATCTGGTGTGTAATTTACACTTAAAACACATTCCAGTTCAGACTAGCCGTATATTAAGTGTTCAGTAGCCACATGTGGCTGCAGACCACCGCATTGGACAGTGCAGGTCTAAGGTATATCTATTTTAGGAAAATACGTCTCTAAGTCTCAGTTTCCTTATCTGTGAAATAGAATATAGCATGCACCTCTTACAGTCTTTGCTAGGATTAAGTGAGATAATATATTTTAAGGTACCCAACACAATATCTTGAACAAAAAAATTTCTCCATAATTCCAGTGTTTCTTTTATTAGTAATAACTTAGTCACCCTATGCTTTTTAAATTTTAACCTTAATATAAATGTAATATTAGAGGAAATAAATTTATGATTACATTTTGAAATTCATTACCTAGTGTATACAAATGAGACTAGAAAGCAGTTAAGATTAAAACAATCCTTGGAAAAATTTTGTTGATGTTCTCTTAAAATACTTTCCTTTATTAATGATTTGATGAGAAAGGGTAGGAAAATGAATATTTAACTGCAAGTCTAACATTAATGCATGGCCAAACACTGAATTGGAGCTTTTCATTGGATCGTTATTATATGGAATGTTTTGTTCTTAAAAAAATCAAATAGGCCCACACTCCCTTAAGTAGTTACACACGCATATATATACACACAACCTCATGTCAAAGCCAAGTGGACCAACTGAAAATGACTATATATAAATAAATTCATATGCTTTCTTTAACTTTACTTTGTACGAGATCACACACAGACGAGTGATAGGGATACAGAAAATGTTTCAAGTGAAATAAAACTAGAATTCTTTCCAATTTCATACTTGCTTTTCTCACCCCTCTCAGGGTAAGCCATGGTCCTGACTTGAAGTATTGTGGAGCATGCTACCCAAGGCCTGTTCTTAGGATAAAGCTCAGGAATCTTGAACATGACCTTCCCAGTCAGAGCGTGCTCTTGTCCCTCCCTGCCTTTGTAGTCTCACCTCTTACAAGCCTCCTCATATCTTAGATTCCAGCACTCAGACCTTTCAGTCTCTTGAAAGCGCCTATCTCTGGGTTTTCCTTCTACCTATGGAAATGGTCTACCCTTTCACAGAGTTCGTTCCTACTCTTTTGCTCCTCCCTACTTCAACAGTTTACCCTTCAGGGAAGCCTCATCCCTGACTGAATTAATTCCTTGCCATCTTCCCACACTAGATTAACTTCATGCCTCACCCCTTCTTTCAACCATCTGTACCTTAGTGGCACTTCAGTGGTACCGTACTTCCCTCTTCTTGTAGCACTCATGAAAGCTGAATTATTTGTGGGGTAGTTTACATGCAGTCAGTTTTTCTCATTAAACTATAATCCCATGTGGCTAGCATAGCTCCTGGTACATAGGAAACAGTCTAGAAAAATATGTTGGAAAAAAACTAGTATTCAAAAGAAATATTTTTATTATCTTTTGGCTTCAGTTTCCCCAAACATTTTAATTATCTAAATGGAATAGATCAGTGGTCCCCATACTTTTTGGTACCAGAGACCGGTGCTTCGATGAGAATCTAATGCCTGATCATCTGAGGTGCAGCTGAGGCGGTGATACTAGTGCTGGGGAGCAGCCGCAAATACAGGTAAAGCTTCCATCACTCACCTTCTACTCACCTTCTGCTGTAGGGCCCGGTTCCTAACAAGCCACAGGCTATACCAGTCTACAACACTGGGGTTGAGGACCCCTGGAGTAGATGATCCTTTAAAGCTCATTTTGTGGGTGGAGTAGATGATCTTCCTTTAGCTCTAACATTCTATGAGAGTTCTGTCTCATGAATGGGGCAGTAGGGGAAGAGATAAAGTTTAATATGAACCTCAAAATATTAGGAGTACAGTGTCTTCCTGATAAGAAATGGCATAGGAAATGCATAGAATATGTTTATTAACTGTTAAATAGACCAGATTGGCTAAACCAGGAATTTATATAGAAGTGTGAGAGGGGGTAAAACTAAAAAAAATGTAAAGTTAAATTAGAAGGTTAAACACTTTGGATTTGATCTTAGTAGTCTAGGACCGTGATCAAAATTGTTATAGAAATAATAATCCAGTGGTGATATGAAAGATGGCTTAGTGGCAATAGACCATAGTCAGAAGAAATAGTGTGATAATCTAGTTCTAATGAAGTATAAAAATTCTGAATTAGCATGATGTCTGTAGGAGCACAAAGAAAAGAACAGATTTAAATAATGTTGTAAAGAATGAATTAACTGAGTGGGAAAGGGAAAGGTCAAAAGTAACCTTGACATTTTGACACGAGTGAATAGAATTATGGAGGAATAGCTGGGGGAAATTATTTTAGCTTTGAAGATGGTAACCATCCAGATAGATGCAACTAATAAGAAATTAGAATATTTGAATAAAGCCTGAAACGTCAGTTTATGTGTGAATATAAAGACTCAGGATGATCTGCATAGTTCAGATTTGGAGAGTTGATGAAATCTTTTGGGTAGAGTATATAGAGAGAGAAATGAATGGATACAGCTGGGAATAAAAATTAGAAATGAATATGGCCAAGGATAGAACTTGAGAGTTGTAAGATATATAGAGACTTTATACTTTGCAGTAGGCTAGAAGGCATGGGGCATTTTAAGATTGGGAAAAGGAATGGGAAAAGAGTGGTCGATTTGTACTACCCAAAGTAAGTAAGTTGCTATTGTTGTTAATATTATAATTAATATTTCTGTATCATTTAAGTGATCACTTTCTAATGACACAAATGATTTGCACTTTTTCTCACGATAAGTTGCCATATAAAAACCTACTCTAAAATAGGGGCACATTGCCAATTGCTACACATAAATCTTGACCCTTAATAGATTGATGCTGTGAGCCCAAACCAGGGAACCCATCAAATGATATTTGTCCCAAGTAAGTGGAACTTCTGGATTTTGCCATCATTCCTTCCTCTGCAAACACCTTCTTCCCCAGATTGACACCTCCACTAACCAAAATTGTAATCAAAATCTGGGCCTCCAAGGTACAGAGCGTAATAGCTATGAGTCACTTTTTATAGCCCAGAGATTTTTTTCTGAAAGGGGAACATGTTTTTGCTGCATTGTAAAACTAGAAAATTACAGTGTAGTTTTCTTTTAGCTATCCCAAGACTGGAATTTTTTGTTTACTTTGCAGATGGAGTTGATGATCTCCCTTTAGCTCTAACATTCTGTGAGTACTTCCATCTAGTTGAGGGAAGAGGTAAAGTTTAATATGAATACTTCCATCTAGTGAGGGAAGAGGTAAAGTTTAATATGAATCTTGAAGAATCAGCAGCCTGTGATCTGCAAATCTTCTCTAGTTAAGATTTGGTAATTCTATCAAAATCTATAATCGAAGGAATCATTGTAATGATTTTTTTTAAGGGAGAGAGGGCAAAAGTAATTTAGCCAGCCAACCATTCTACTGCACACAGATAAAAGATATCAGCTGTCCCTGCATATTGATAAATCAATCTTCTGACAAGAACAAATGGGTTATTTGAAAGATTATATGACTGACCACTGAATGAAAAATATTCAGACCACCATGCAATTGCATGATGTTGACTTTCTAGCTCTCCTTTAGGAAAAAGTTAGATAATTAATTAGCAAGTAAACATTAGAGAGAAGGTACAGAAACTGATAAAATGTCTCTATACAACCAATGGAAGTGCCAACAAAGTTGGAATCTTCCTTTGTGTTACTTGAGTAATCTCTACATGCTATCTTTTATGAAATTATGTATGGTATATTAAAATGCATAGATTATACATTTATACACATTTCTAAGGAATGATCTTTATATAAAACCATATATAGCATACTTAATTTAAGGAATTTTTTTTAAAGATAATGTTTATTTTACATAGTTTTTCTCAGCCATTGTCTTCAGAACTTAAATCCCTGGGGAAAGATATGTGATCACACTGTAGGGTTTCCTTTGCTTTTGTTTCAACTTTGCCCTGTTATATGTTCTTACCTACTGTTTTCTTACGTGCTTATATTTTTCTGGCCTATAGTATGTATAAAAAGTTGTAAGATCTTTAATCCTTTTTTTTTTTTTGAAAAATCTAAGTATGTATATGAGTATACTTTCAAAGGAGATCAAACTGGTAGATATAGAATAGTTACAAAAGTAAAAATGTAGAGATGATATTTCTGTAAGAAATGTATCATGAAATTTTAATAGTGTGCAGAAATATGCCTTATATATTTGCCTTTTTATTTATTTGTTGCTTTGATGGTTATTGTTTATTATATTAAATTTTTTTCTTTGCCTAACAGGGAAAAGTTTCTTAAGCATACCTTTATGCCTTACCAGATCAAACTGAGTCTTTTAGTAGAATAATATCAATAATGGTAATGCTGTGCTATTAGACATCTGCATTTTAACGTGTATAAGAAAACTATAAATATATCGGTAAAGTTTAAGGTAATCAAAATATTTAAAAATAGCTTATTTCTAGTTGGTAAGATTTTAAGATGGTTCATACTAAACATACTATTTAAATAGATTTAACTTTATATTTTTAAAAGATTGAAACCTCTTTGAAAATAACAGATTTAATAGTCCAACTGTTTTGCCTTTTATTCTTATGGGAAAACTCTAATAAGAAACACCTATATTACCCTGATTTTTAATAAATTTCAGTTTAAATTAAGGGTCACTGCCATGAAATAAGTTCTTTAAAGCTGTGAGTCAATATAAGGTTACTGAGTATCTGAATCAAATATCAACAGCATATTATATTGAAGTCATGGTTTGGGAGGTCTAGCAAGAAAGCAACAGTTGGAAGTCTTTGGAAGTTTGATGCGTTTAATTACTTAATGTTGGAAATGTATTTCTCACACATGGTTGAAAACTATCTGAATAAGCTACTTAAAATAGATTATAGCTTGTAAATTAAGTACACTTGTAAATCATATATTCTGTTTTACTCAGAATGCTGAAATGTAATCACTGGCAGAATGGTATAGGTGGTTGTTTTTTGTTTTGTTTTTGTTTTCTCTAATATGTTTTTTTTATTTTAAATTTTTTAAAGTGATACAGTTATACAAATCATCAAGTGATCCCCCGATGTTTTTTGATGTTTTTGTTTTCTCTGTGCTTAATAAGTTTTAAGGTTTGAAAACATACCAAAATTGATATTTTAGGGAGAAATACAACAATGATTTATCATTTTTGTAGGTTTTTAAAATTTATTTATTTGTATTAAGATATAATTGGCATATAGCATGGTATTAGTTTTAGATTTTTTCACTTAGTAAACCTATCCAAGAGTAACATTGTAAACCTTTATTTAAAACATTTAGGAGTGTTATTTTTCATGAAACAATGATTTTATATATGTATATATTGCAAAATGATTACCAAAATAAGTTTACTGATGAGAACTTTTATGATCTACTATCTTAGCAACTTTCAATTATACAATGCAGTATTGTTAACTGTTGTCACCATGGTATATATTACATCCCCAGTACTTATTTATCTTATAACTGGCTGTTTGTACTTTTGACTACCTTCAGCAGTTCCTCCTTCCCCATGCTGAGACCTCACCCCACGCTGGCCTCACCTCTGGCAACCACCAATCTGTCCTCTAAGAGTTCTTTTTTCTTTTTTTTCCCTCAGATTCCATACATACGTGAGATCAGACAGTATGTGTCTTTCTCTGTCTGACTTATTTCACATAGCATAATGCTCTCAGGGTCCATCCATGTTGCTGCATATGGCAGAATTTTCTTCTTTTTTACAGCCTGATGTAATTCCACTTGTTTACTTTGCTTTTGTTGCCTTTGTTTTTGTTACCAAATCTGAAAAAATCATTACCAAATCTGAAAAAATCATTGCCAAGATATATGCCAAGCCCATATATCTTCTTCTAGGAGTTTTATGATTTCAGGTTTTACATTCAAGTCTTTAACCCATTTGAGTTGATTTTTGTGTAAGGTGTTAAGATTGTGATCTGGTTTCATTCTTTTGCGATGCCTATCTAGTATTCCCAGCACCATTTATTGAAGAGACTGTCTTTTCTCTATTGTATATTCTTGGCACCTTTTTCATAAATAAGTTGATGATATATTCATGGGCTTATTGCCAGGTTCTCTGTTCTGTTCCATTTATATTTGTGTCTATTTTCATGTCAATATCATACTGTTTTGATTATTATAGCTTTGTAATATAGTTTGAAATCAAAGAGTGTCATTCCTCCAGCTTTGTTCTTTCTCAAGATTACTTTGGCTATTTTGGGTCTTTTGTAGTTCCACACATATTTTAGGATTCTTTGTTCTATTTCTGTGGAAGATACCAATGGAATTTTGAAAGGGATTGCACTGAATCTGTAGATTGCTTTGTGTAGTTTGGGCATATTAACAATATTCTTCCAATCCATGAGCACAGAATAGCTTTCCATTTATTTAAGTCTTCTTCAGTTTCTTTTATGATTGTTTTACAATTTTTTAAATTGTTATCTATAAAAATATTGAAATAATAACACATCTCCATCTACTTCTGTACATTCACTCAGCACTGGCTTTCACATTTCCTTAATCATGGCCCTCAGTAACAAACACATTTTACATTGTGACACAGTGCATACACAAGCATA